TTATTGTATAAGATATATCTAAAAATTTTATCTACAAGTTTTTAAAATGAAATGAAGCAATAATCAATACGATTACAAGGTTAGGGCTAAATTTTATGTTTTCGTTATTTCGGTTGAAAAGGCCACTGAGGTCAAAAATAGTATTTATTATTCGAAAACTTTGAATATTTAAGCTAATCTAATAAACTTTGCATGACTTTTTCTCCTCCGTTTGTCAACCGATTTTCTTTTTTTAAGCTTTAAATTTTGAAAATAGTTTTCAACCGACTTCCTTAAAAAGGAGGAGGTTCTCAATTCGGTTGTTTTTTTTTATGTTTGTTACCTCAGAACTCCGTCATTTATCAACCGATTTGGACAATTTCTGTTTTATTTGAAAGTGTATACTTCCAGATTGGTCCCATTTAAATTAAAAAAAAATACCACCACTAAGGGTGGAATAACAGCTAATGATGAATTTAACCTACTTCTAATTGTCATATTGACTTGAAACTTTGCAAGTGTTTCTATTTCCTTTGATAGTAAAGTGGTTCAGTATTGTTGACCTGATCTGATGGTAAGGCCAGAAAGTGGACAGGTGGAACTCTTCAACGGCTAATAGTAGATACTTTGAGTTTGGGCTTATTTTGTTCGATTTGACAAGCCTAACACGTTAGAATTCTTACTTTTCTACTACTGTCTACACTAAAAAGAGAAAAATAAAAACTTTTTAACAAAAAAATAAAAACCGACTTCAAACAAAAGCAATAAAAAGTAAAAAATAACTGATTGGAAGTTTTCATTTCCTACCTAATCAAATATTTTCGAAGTCGGTGTGCTTTGCTTTGTATCGGCTGGCACCGAATTCGAAGGTCGATTACAAGGTCTGTCTACACTAAAAACGGAAAAATAAAAACTTTTTAACAAAAAAATAAAAACCGACTTCAAACAAAAGCACTAAAAGGTAAAAAATAACTGATTGGTAATTTTCATTTACTATACATACCTAATCGAATATTTTTGAAGTCGGTGTGCTTTGGCTAAGTAATTAAAGCCTACCTATTAAATACATACCTAATCAAATATTTTCGAAATCAGTGCCAGCCCATACAAAGCAAAGCACACCGACTTCGAAAATATTTGATTAGGTATGTATAGTAAATGAAAACTACCAATTAGTTATTTTTTACTTTTTAGTGCTTTTGTTTGAAGTCGGTTTTTATTTTTTTTGTTAAAAAGTTTTTATTTTTTCATTACATACATTTTCGTACTAATTAAATCGATTCCTGTATCTTAACACATAAAGGGAAGTCGCCGGCAACTATATGTTTGTACGTTTATTTTCGCTAATCTCGAAAACTACTGCACATACTCTGAGACGGTTTTTACTATTATGGCATCGACATTCCCCAGAAAAAAATAATGTATGAAAACTCCATTTATAGGTGCCAATTATCAATAATATTAGCGCAGTATATAAATCTATATATATGGAAGATATTTCGGAAAAACTATAATTGGTGGTCTTTATTTGAGATTAACACAATAGAATACACTGATTTTTAGATTTTTTTCTGTTTGTCTGTGCGTTTGTACGCGCTAATCTCAGAAACGGCTTAACATATTTGGATGCGATTTCCAATAATGTATTGTAGTAAGCTTCACTTAATATTTAGTATTTGTTTTATCTTAATTGGTTCAAAAATAAAAAGTTATTTTAATTTAAAGAATCGCCTAGGGACGAACCCGAGCGAAGCGAGAATTAGTCGCTAGTCCATAATATACTAGGCGATCACCAATCAAATGCAAGGGTTGGCAAAAATATAAGCAAAAACTTTTTAACAAAAAAATAAAAACCGACTTCAAACAAAAGCACTAAAAAGTAAAAAATAACTGATTGGTAGTTTTCATTTACTATACATACCTAATCAAATATTTTCGAAGTCGTGTGCTTTGCTTTGCATGGGCTGGCACCGATTTCGAAAATATTTGATTAGGTATGTATTTAATAGGTAGGCTTTAATTACTTAGCCAAAGCACACCGACTTCGAAAATATTTGATTTTACTTTTTAGTGCTTTTGTTTGAAGTCGGTTTTTATTTTTTTGTTAAAAAGTTTTTATTTTTCCCTTTTTAGTGTAGACAGTAGTAGCAAAGTAAGGATTCTAACGTGTTAGGCTTGTCAAATCAAACAAAATAAGCCCAAACTCAAAGTATCTACTATTAGCCGTTGAAGAGTTCCTCCTATCCACCTTCTGGCCTTGCCATCAGATCAGGTCAACAACACCGAACCACTGTACTATCAACGGAAATAGAAATACTTGCAAAGTTTCAAGTCAATATGACAATTAGAAGTAGGTTAAATTCATCATTCGTTGTTTTTCCACCCTTAGGGGTGGTATTTTTTTTTGAAATTTAAATGGGACCAATCTGGAAGTATACCCTTTCAAACAAAACAAAAATTGTCCAAATCGGTTAATAAACGACGGAGTTCTGAGGTAACAAACATAAAAAAAAAAAAAAAACTTACAGTCGAATTGAGAACCTCCTCCTTTTTGAAGTCAAAATAAAGGCAAAACGTTCATGGCGAGCGGTGTTGAAGTTAAATAAATAAACGATTATAAAATATGTCTAAGCCTTATATGTACTATGTGTTTGTTAATTATTATTATTTATTAATATTAATGTATGACGCAGGCAAAATATTCACAAAAGATAGATTGCCTAAACACAATTTTTTTGGGCGATCGAGTACGTCTTAAAGTAAAGCGGGAGTAGGTATAATTAGTATAATGTTATTAGTTATTAATTCTAGTAAACTAAAATTACATGACTTGAATTAATAATGAATATTTAAACACGGTAAAACATGAGGTAGTGGTAGTCCAGTGGTAACGCGCTCGCTTGGGAAACCGAGTGAAGCGGGTTCCAATCCCAGGTCTGGCCACTTGCTTGTTGAAGGAAAACATCGCGAGAAAACCTGCATATCTAAGAGAACCTAGCAAGTTTTCGAAAGATATCTGTAGTCCGCCAACCCGCACTTGGCCAGCGTGGTGGACTATAGCCTGTTCCCCCTCGTATTGAAGGGAGGCCCGTGCCCAGCACATATAATACATAAAAAATACACACATACATGTAAACACAATATTAATTTTCATTTTACTTTTAACTTTCTAAAAGATGAGTTTATTTCCATATTACGTTACACGATATTTAAGGTTAACATAAAGATGTCACGATCCTTTTTCTAATAATAAGAAGGATAAAATATACCCGAACGGTCTTGTCATACTTTAAAAAAAGCTTAATTTTTAAGAACGGCAACTTTTTTAGTTGAAAAGTAATGATAATAAAAAGACCATCTGCGTAACTTTTTGAGGTTCTATCCATATGCGGCCTCGAGTGTGATATTTATAATCGTTTAACCCGCAGTCATAAGACCTTTTATTTTTGTAACCGTAAACTACAAGAGCTTATGTTACATTTAGAGACAATTTTTGAAATTAAATGGATTCTTAGCTAAATAGATTCCTATAATATATTTTTAAAGTAAACCAGCTAGTAATATATATCAATAACAACCATAAAATATTAAATTAGATCAAATCAAAATATGCGGAACTGCTCCAGAATCCTAGGCGATCAGGCTCGCACTTATCCGTTTATTTTTTTTAATTTAAAATAAATGCTAATATGTAAAATATACATTCAGCCAAATTGTAATTCTGCTGCAAAGACTTATCAAGAAACATAACAGATACTCTATTTATTATCTAATATTTTACTTTCTTGATTAGAAAGTGGTTAAATCGTAAATCTGACGACGGTCATCGCTTGACTAGTCAAATAATCCACTGATTTTTTGTTGATTATATCATGGCTCACTTTTTACAACATTCCGAATGTCATTTTGATATTACAGCATTAAATAACAAATCCATACTAATATTATAAATGTGAAAGTGTGTTTGTTTGTTTGTTTGTTTTTTTGTCCTTCTTTCACATCGAAACGGAGTGACGGATTAGCGTGATTTTTCGTGTGAAGATAGTTGGAGGGTTGGAAAGTGACATAGGCTACTATTTATCGCGTGAGATTATCTAATTCCACGGGAAAACACGTTATAATACAATCCAAAAAAATATTTATGATCAGAATTACTTGAAACTTTGTATTAATGGTCTTCAATAAAATTAAATAAATACGTGTTTTAGCATTTTTCGAAATTCAGCCTATAAGGGGGTAAAATAGGGGATGAAAGTTTGTATGAAAGTACCTTTTTAAGAGATTTCTTTTTATAGTTTTAGCGCGAGTGAAGCTGCGGGTTCTTTTAGTAGATTATAATTAAAATAATAACCGCATATAGTCAGTCTTGAACGTGTAATACGAGTAATTTTAATAGAAATATATTACATATTTGGCAGTAGGTAACGCAGTTCATAATAAAAAAAAGTAACAGTTATATCCCATAGCGAGTATGTCTACTTTAAAAATGGTAAATGGTAAAGGGTTCAAATCCCGGATTATGTACTTCTTAAATGTTGTAAATGTCATTTTAAAGAAAAATTAACACTTGCTAAAACGATAAAGGAAAACGTCATGAATAAATGTACATGAATCATGTATGAAAGAACCTTACTAAGCTTCGAAGGAACTTCGTGGTCTGTCGGACACTTTGGTTAGCGTAGTGGTCTATAACCTATTTTTTTTTAATGTTGGGAAATGCATTTACGCATACAACCTATAGACATACATGTTAATTGGAATTCACCGGCTAGAAAAGCCAATATTAGATACTAAAACGCAACAAAACCTTCTCTGTTTTAATGGGGCGTCGCAGGATCACCTATGCACTCAACCACGACGCCCAGACTGCAGATCTGCCGAAGCAGACCATGAGGTTGCTCCAACGGTTCACTCTTCTTTCAGAGAAGTATCAGGAGCAACCCGCATGTTACACCACCCACTGAAGTGGGCCACCTCCCAGTGCATTTCTTGGCTTTGCGCCTGGCTGAAAGACAACTTACCCTAGCCAATCCGGAGACAGGAAACTTTTCAAAATCCAAAACATTGTCTTCACCGAGCTCATTTTCCATTTGTCCTGCGAAGGTCCTGGCTGCCATCACAGTCGCTAAGGACATCCCATCTCCAATAAACATTATGCCATTTTTTGCTTTATTTTTATTAACTGTCTCCCTTAATTTAGATTTTAGCACTTCTGATGCAGTTTTTCTCCAGTATGAACCATGTTTTTCATCTGTTGGAATGTATGACGGGTGCATGCCGGTCTCTAATGATTTTTTTGGTATCGGTATCGACACATCATCTGTTAAAAAAACATTTGAAATTAAATGATATTTTTTTTAACCGGCTGAAGAGGAAGGAGGTGTATAAATTTGTTTGAACGTGTGCATTTTTTGTCCATTTTAGGTGCAAAATGATAAATAACCTAAGATGATTAAATAACGCATAAGATTTTACCAATAATAGATTTTTATCGTTGAAACGTAACATTGTATCTTTAATTTTCGTTTTGTCACGTAATGCTTGTGTTATAATCAAAGTCACGTATTAGAAATGCATAAAATACGTAATTTCTCATGGTTTAAAATATTATTGATTAAAGATAGTAGGTGCTTATCTACACATGTATCACGTTGTAACAAGTTGAAAGTTGTGCATTAAATATATTTTTTTTTATCTTTTTGGGGACGTAATAGCTACATTGAAAGTTAAAATTTTATATGTATGTATGTTTGGACATTACTCAATACTATGGCACTGGCAAGAGCAATAGAAAAATTAACGTCATTTGGTCGAGTAGCTTAACCAATAATTATACTTTTTTACTTAAAAGGTACACCAATTTAAAAATAAATTTTAAAGCAATTATTCCACCCTATAGAGTAGAATATTTCTGGATAGTATATAATATATGTACATATACATGAATCATGCGAGTCACTTCCAAATTAACGAAGATATCAAATAACACAAAACATACATCCGAATTGAGTAACTTCTCTTATTTGAAATCGGTTATTAAATTTTGCGATAGTTTCCATATAATTACAAGGCCATATCAAGACGTTGTGGAATAAGTAGGTTAAATAATAACAAAGTTTAACAAAAAAACTATACACAAACATATTAAATCTACGAGACTAAACTAAAAATTGAGCTTGTACACCGTGAAAATGTAATGTATAAAAATATTGTACATATCACAGTACAATTATACGTGAGAAAGTTTATATGTATGGGTATGTGTGTTTTTATTTCTTTAACACGCTGCAACGACTAGATCGATTTGGATGAAATTTTGTACACAGACTACGGCCTGAGTTATCATCATATGGACTACTGGTAGTGAAATAATATAATAATAATATGTATCGCTCGTCGTTTGCCAAAAGATGAACATCTAATATATAAAATTCTCGTGTCACAGTGTTTATAACAAAATTCCTCCAAAACGGCTTGACCGATTCTTATGAAATTTTGTGTGTATATTCAGTAAGTCTGAGAGTAAGACGCAAACTATTACTCATATCCCTAAGTGATAAGCGTGGTCCACCCTAGGGATGAACCCGAGCGGAACGAGGGTGATTCGTTAGTATTATAAATATTAAAGTCGATGTTTTTGTATGAAATTGCAAATGACTGATGATATGGTGATATATGGTATGTCAATAGTAAGTCACTAGATGTTAGACTATATATGTATGTATGTACGTCTGAGATAGACGTTTTAAATAAAGGAATAACGGTCTCAATTACAGCGGAAATTAATCGGTACAATCTGGATGCTCCCGTCGAATCTAGACTAAACATAGTCATTCTAGTCTTCATCTGTATAATTGAAAGTTAAGTGGATTAATACTTTATTATATATACGCGAATATTTGACATTTTAAATAAAACTATATTTTCGGATTATTTCGCGGATTTATTTTGATTTTTGGTTCCCTACGTTTTGAACGCTTTACAGCAATCGTGGTCACGGGAGAGATTCTCTTTTTTTTCTGTCAGGAAAAACCCTGTTCCCGGGTACCCGCTCGCCGATGGGGGATGCGAGACGGGTTATGTGGGGCTCCTGCCGCGCAAAGATGGAAGCGCGCGGCAGCCTACCCACTAAAAAATCTGACAAAGACACCTCCTTCGCCTTAAGGCCGGGGCCACGGGTACCAAAAGACTCTTCCGCGACCCCGACGGCGAGTGCCTGTTAAGGCCCGTCCCAAAGGCAGGGGCTGAGATGGTCGACCACTCCTGACGGCCTCCTCTGCCAGAACACTGGTCGGCCAACCTTCGGGAGAGACCGTGACCATGAAAAGATAGTTTTATTTAAGTGGATTAAATCAAAAATCACCAAAACGAGATATTACAATAGTTAAAACGGTAGACATTCAATTTAAGTATTGATGATAAATTAAAATAAATGAAAAGTATCATAATATACATTTTTGAGTTTGACGACACGTTTGGCTCAGTTTGTAGTAACCCTAGTTGCTGTGCCAGCGGTCGCGGGTTCAAGTCCCGCTGGAGGCATCCATTTGTGCGATGAGCACGGATGACAAACAACTGAACGAGGGTTTTCATCCTAATCATTCTTACCTAATCAGACATTTTTAAATTCGTTGCCAGCAAGCAAGTTAGTTATTTGTTCAAATATACTTGATCTAAGTTTAACTGATTTATCTCATGAGTAAAGAAATGATTAAAGAACCACTTAAAACTATTATAATAATTTGAAACAGTAACTTTTAATGATAAATATGAACGTGAAATGTTCCAGGAAGTTTAACTTCTAACCGATAGCAAACAGTTTGCGGTCAGTATATTTGCAATAAAAATATACGATTTATCTATTCATTTCGTGGTTTAAACGTTATAAACGTATAAGTATTTATATAGATTACTGCAATAAAAATAGATTGTTCGTTTGTAGTAATAATACTAAAAATTGATGGTCTAACTACAAAGTAGATGGTGGGTCTAAGAAAAAGTCTTTATTTTCTATCTAAATAGTAAAATCTTCAGTTGGGGCTTAATTGTTTTGTTTCAATAAAAACCCATATATTGTAGTTAATTAAAAGTGTTTTTTTTTTTAAGTATTATTAATGATAGATATAGGCAGTGGGAGCCCAGTAGTAACGCGCTCGTTTATGAAGCAGGCTTAAATTCCGCTTCTGGCACGTCTGATATTTTCATGTGTGAATCATTTCCAACATGATTACTACTTGTTTTTCTGAAGGAATACATCGTAAAGAAACCTGCATGTCTGAGAGAAGTCCGCTAGCCAGCACTTGGCCAGCTTGGTGGACAAAGGCCTGATCCACCTCGTATTAAAGGGAGGTCCACCACCAGCAGTGGGACGTTAAAATGGGCTAAATATGTATTTTTAGTGTGGTATTATAGATATGGATAATTGAGTCAACTTGTATAATTAGGAATGGACCTATAACTTGCAATATAGATGCCAGTTTTGGACTACGGAACCAAAGTGATGAAATTCGGATAAGATTATATTCTAAGTAGGTATATATTTAATTTCTTCGACGGAACGGCTATAAGTCTACGGGCCAAAAGTTGTATAAAATAAATAATCTGACTATCTAAGGCAGGAATCCCCAACCACGTAGGTACGTACCCCTAGGGGGAGATAGAGAGAGTTTTGTATAACTTAAAATTAAAATAAATAAAAATCGTTAAAATAATGTATTTTATAATAATAAAAAAAATACAAGGGGGCATGAAAATATTTTTTATAATCTGGGGAGATTCAACAGAAGAAAGGTTGGAAAACCCTGGGCTAAGGTAATAAATAATACTTCTTAAATGACAAAAAATATAAGTAATAAGTATCAATGAAGTTTGATAATTTTAAATAATTTTATCAATATGATAATAAATACTTTTACAAAGCACTTCCAAAGTCCTTAAATTTATAAATCAAAGAAAAACGAAAAATAAGTAAATGAGTAAAAATCTTAACTTGTAAGAAATTCTGTACATACCTGCATATACAATACTAAGTAAGGCCAATACAAAGATCACCTGTCGCGCCATCACTGACAGACTGAGTCGTGCGCACGCGCCGCGGCACTTTTATCAACTGAATCTACAACCCATCGTAAATTATATCCATATTTAAATCGTATTAAAAGGATTTGGAGATAATCTGTCAAATATAATTATCTCGCAATGCAATAAACTAAATTTAACTAACCTTTTTCCGATGGTTTTGTTTATATATAAATGTCATTGGGTAATCGAGTTGTTTGTATTGCAAGAGAACCTGTAGTGGTGTCGCCTTAACCAATTTCGGTTACGGCAGCCATCTCTCTGAAGTTAGCCAGGTCGGGAGATATAATAGATAAATGCATGTTTATTCCTTGGGTTATTATAATTCAACATGAGATTTGAGAGAAATAAACAAAACCGGCAATTAAGGGGTTTTCGAAACGCACATTGCCAACTTTTCAACTCCATTTCCTCTGAGTATATCTGACAGGAGAACCTGACCATTCTGGCCCGAATAGGAACTCATATACAGAATTCAAGGTCTTAATTTTTAAGTATTTTTTGAAGTAATATTCTAATCATTAAAAAATAAACACCCATCTTTGTTATCTATGTATTTTAATTATTATAATTTTATGAGATTTTAGAAGTAGGTAATAAGAAAAATTAAAGATTATTTGATGTCTAACTAAGAATATATATCTTGAAAAGACTCAGACAACTATTACAAAGTAGAAATATTATAGTTATAATTTATATTAAGTAGGTAGGTAAGTATATATTTTACTAATGCATATGATTTTGAGTATAAAGTTCCCCTCGTGTTCTAGGTACGATCTCTTTTTAGTTTACGATGGGTTATTCATCGCAACCATATCTCAAGATATATTTAGGAGACTCAACTATGATATATATACCTTTGAATCTTCTAAACCAAATGCTACTTTAAATTTTTTTATTAGTTCAAAAATAAGTACAACTTCTCTACCGTTTCTTGAATAATATAAGCAAAAAACGACAAACAACTGACAAATATATTGTTGATTTTTCTTAAGTTTTCGTATAGCCCAACATTTTCCAAAAAATATTCCACTCGCGTATTCAATTCGAAGTCATTTAAAGAATGTTATTGAAGCGTCCGCGACCGTTGCGAAATAAATTTCTTTTGGTCCATATAACGGGATGCACAATTTGGAACCTTGAACAATTTACAACTGGTTTCAAGCTAAGATGGGCAGTAAAAAGGCCTCTTAATTTTAATTTTCAAACTTAAAATCAAAATTAAGAGGGTGAATTTCTAGTTTGCCTTAAGCTTATAAATTCACCCTCCCTTCACCCTAGGTGCCTAACAATTAGTTCAGGTCATAGCCTATATTCTGTAGACTTTTCATTGTGATCTGTCCTGCCAATTCTGTTATAGAGCATATTACTAAATGAAAAATTATCTAAATAACATCATTTACATATGATCTAGAGCAAAAAAGTTTTATATATAAGAGGAATTTGGCGCTTACTACTTTTTAGTTTTGAAGAATCTAGTCTGAAGCCACGTGAACATTCGTCGCGCATTTGTCGCGCAGTTCACCAGTCTACCGCGTGAAATTAGAGTTTATATTTGCTTCAAACGCACTCGTAAGCATTTTGATTTAGAATATAATATCAACAGTTACTGTTTTTTTTATTTTGACCATTTATAAGGCACAAAATGACTGGTAACGTTACGACAAAATACTGTAAAACTCCGTATGTTTAACCCCCGACGCAAAAAGAGGGGTGTTATAAGTTTGACGTCGATATCTGTCTGTGTGTGTGTGTCGGCCTGTGGCATCGTAGCTCTCAAATGGATGGACCGATTTCGATGGTTTTTTTTTTCATTTGAAAGCCAGTTTCCTTGCGGTGGTTCTTAGATGTGTTTGATTAATATCGGTCCAGTAGTGTCAGAGTATCAGCTCTTTTTCAAAATGATGTAAGGCATTTTGGCGTATGATTACTCGATTAAGTGCTTCACGCGTGCCAGTGTAATCGTTAAATGACAATAAATTTGCGTAGGGGGTTTATTTAATTTTTAATTTATAATTATGGTTCATTACTTGGTTCCTTTGCTTTTTTTTATTTAATTGTACTATATTTTTATAGATTTATTCGTTAGTCTAGCGGTTAGGATACATGGCTGCCGATGTGCAAATCGTAGGTCAGAGTTCCGTTTGGGCTAAGTATAGTTATTGAGATTAGTTATTACGAAATTCTCAGTAACATCCAGCAGGACTTGAGCAGTTAGCGAAGTTATCAGAACTTAACATTTCACCAGTCATACTGAATTTTGAGAGTGAAAGGAATAGAGAGTGCACTTGTCAGATACAAGACTAGAACGCACAAACTTGTGTACTGTAGGCAATTTATCGCATTTGGCTAGCTCAGTAAAATAGGCCACCGTAACAAAAATCCCTCAGAGGGATACGTTCATATGTTTATTTAATAGGGCCTATACAAATGACAACTTTTTAGTAAGCCGACGACGCACATATCCAGAGTGTACGTTTTGTGCGCATACTTATTCTCGCTGATAAATAAAAAAAATGCAGATTGCTTGCGTTTATACTCGTATAGGAGGCGCGTTCACGTTGGACGGGATCATGCGTTTAATAGAGCGAAAACCCCTGTCAGATTTTTGTACATAAACTAGCAGTGCCCGCGGCTCCGCCCGTATTCAGAAGACCAAAAACCAAATTCTAAGGTTTTACATATTAGTATACTCTTACAATGCAGTTTTTGTATTTTTTTCAGAAATTAGATATTTTCTCGCGGTAAAACGTATCCTATATGTTGACCCCGATAAGCAGCTATCACTGTACCAAATTGCATCAAAATCCGTCCAGTGGTTTTTCTGTGATGCGGTAACAGACAGACAAAAATTCTAAAAACTATAGATTCGGCCTCTGTATCGATAATAACGTTTGTTTTAATAAGATTTTCCAAAAAATATTTAATGTACAGATTCTGCTTAGTTACAATTTTATTATATATATAGACTTGTTTAGTTGTTTAAAAAAAGTATGTTATTGAAATATATGTTTTTGCAAGATGCTAAAAGTAATCGTACATATAACGATACATATCAATGTTCTCATAATGTTGTATTTCTTAGTTTTTTATGTGATATAAAGAATATACTTACATAATATTCATATTAATTATCATGATTTTTATGGCATTTATAAAATTACTTTTGATTTTAGTCTTAAGTAGGTTAATTGTATTCAGATATTATTGGTCGAAGACCTGTTAACGCAATAGTGGTGTATCTAGTTACAATTGGCATATTGAAGTTAATAAATTCGATTTTCTATTGAAATAATTGTTTCTGAGGAAAGTTATTTTCAGCCTAGGCACTACGTATTTCCCCCCCAACGTGCGTTCACCTTGTCGTGGTGGGGGGGCTCAGTAGTGCCCGGCAACCCAACCGGGCGCGAAGCCAAGAAACGCACAGGGCGGTGGCCCATTTCGGTGGGCGGTGGGAGGTGGCCCTCTTCGGAGGGTGGTGTACCGTGCGGGTTGCTCCTGGTACTTCTCTGATAGCAGAGTGGACTGTGGAGCAACCCCGTGGTTGTTGTGGTCTGCTTCGGCAGACCTGCCGTCGGGGCGTCGTAGTTGAATGCGTAAGCGATCCTGCGACGCCCCATTAAGACGGGGGAAGGTTTTGTTGGGTTTTAGTGGGTAGTACTAGCTTTGCCGGTGAGTCCCACACCTCGTGCGTAAATGCATTTCCCAACGTTAAAAAAAAAAGGCACTACGTATTTAATAACTTATGATTTCATTCCTATTATACACCAAACATCTCAAAAAAATCATTTTTAGGGTTCCGTACCCGAAGGGTACCAACGGGACTCTATTACTAAGCTTCCGCTGTCTATTAAAAAAATAAAATTACAAGAAACATTTTTTAACGTTCGTAATAGATCATTGAAGTTAATATACTAAATAAAGTAAAAGCCATATTCATACAAAGTACACTTGATTCATAACACTTGAGCTAACTGATTTGCACATTTTGTATAAAAAATTAGACAAGTGCGAGTCTGACTCGCACACCGAGGGTTCCGTAACATGAAACATTAAAATAAGTTTATAATCGCATAAAAATATTTGTAATGTGGCTACAAATTTACGGTATCGAACTCCCCTTCGGTTTTCCCTTTACTTTTGCTATAAGACCTTGCTTCTTGTCAAACATGATTCTAAGTCAACAGGAATTACCCTATAGGTTTTGAATCCCATATCTTGTGAACGCGTTGATTTAAACGATTGATTTTTCAAAGCTGCAAGGGTTTGTAAATCTGAATGTTTGATATTAATTTCAAGTTGATTCCACCACGCGTCCCTGAGAAGAATGATGTTGATAGACAGACAGACGGATGGAAAATGAGGTGATCCTATAAGGGGTCCTTTTTTGTTTTTGAGGTACAGAGCCCGAAAATAGGATGAAATTGTATGTACATACATGAATAATAAATACAAAAACAAGCAAACCCAAAGACAGTTATCTAATAAGATATAAAATTCATTGAAATAAAATTAATTAAGTAAAATAAAAATTGCTCAATTAAAAAAATATCGCTCGTAATCCTAACAAGATATAATTAGCACATGGCCACTAAGATTTTATTATTAATCATTAATAAATTACCTAACCGATTGAAGTAATCTAATAATACACGAACAAATCTGTAAATAAAGAGCATCAACTATATTTTATCGCAATAAATATAATAAATAGATAGCGAATTAAGATAATGTATTAAACGAGTTTTATTACAAAAGCAGCCTTACGCATGGTCGCTAGTAAGAGAGAAGTGGGTTAGAGCCCCGGGTCTTACCAGATCTGGGTAGGTAAGTACTTAAAGCTGTGATCAATTTTATTTTATTTTTAGGTATGGCAGTCGTTATAATGATGTTTTTATGACGTAACTGGTGTCTTTTTTATCTATAATGTTTCACCCAGGCATCGTCAACTTTAGACAAATATTATTACTAACAGTAACCTAGGT